ATGCCGTCTACATGTATGGGAACTCTTCACCATCTATGACAACCGTCAGATATTGATTCAACGAATTCAAACATAGTCGTTCGTTTGTTTTTGATGAGGAGCGTCCAAGCCGCTTGGCAGACGTGGTTACTGAGGAAATCGTTGAAAACTCTTCACTGATCGCCGAACGAAAGTGCATGAAATAGCAGAGGCCGTAGACGTATCGTACGGAACGGCATTCAATATTTTGCATGATAACTTGGGAATAAAAAAGCTGTCGGCCCGATGGGTGCCGTGATTGCTCACAATGCACCAGCTCACTCCTCCGCAGTCGTCACAACCAAATTGGTCGAATTGTGCTACGAATTGCTGCCGCATCCACTGTACTCTCCGGATTTAGCCCTCTGTGACTTCTTCTTGTTTCCAAACTTGAAAAAATGATTAGATGGAAAGAAATTCATGTCGAATGATGAGTCATTGCCGAAAAGAGCTTATTTTGTAGAGTTCGACAAATCGTATTTTTCTGAGGGGTTAAAAAAATGGCAGAAGCGTTGGGAAAAGTGTATCCTCCTAAAAGGGGATTATGTTGAAAAATAAAAAAAATTTTTGTGAAAAGCTTGCGTTTTGATTACTAACACGAGTACTTATTGATTTGCCCTCGTATTTTGATCGCAAAGGGCATTTCCCAAAATTTTATGGGCCTCCATTATTTGTTTTTCCAAAATCTTCATCCGATTCGCGTATGTGATTATGTCTTCCTCATTCTTTTTATAAATGTGGCCTAACTCCCCTTGCAATTGATATATTTTTTGAAGTGCCATAGACCTGTTTTAGATATTTGGTTAATTGTGCCATGCTGTTAAAGTTTTGGTCTTGTATAATGCGGCGCGCTTCATCCACAATTCTTATGACTTTGATGAATTGCTGTTCAGCTTCATCTGGTTCAAATGGATTTTGCTTCCTCGCATTCCTCGATAAAGTAACTTAAAGGGATATTTTTGCCATCGAAAAAAGGTACGGCTTCGACAGCGTATTTTAGTATAGCGAATAAGTTATGATGCGTCATTGTTCCGTTAGATCCTTCTGTTTTAGAAGTGATCATAACACTAAACCTTGGTTGAATTGGTTTGTTTGCGAGGTCGCAAGAAGAGGAGAAATCGAGCACAAGAGCGATCGAGCATAAGAACATAATAGTGCCATTAATGTAAAAAATTTGGAACGGGAATAAGTAAAAAGATTTACCGCGTACGATAACACTAAATGACAACAAGATTGACTATATCCATTGGAACAATCCGAACGAAATTATGGATCGTCTGCGATTACTCGAGGCCTCGCGCCAGTCGGGTCACAATGGTCATGATGATGAGATTCTGTCCATTATCGAGGAGCTTCGTGAAGCCGGTCTGATTATAAATTAACCTCATTTGTTCAGTCGAAATCGATCAATATGTTTGAATTATTGCTTGAAGAAGAAAGCTAATCGCATTGTCAGTAGCGCGGACTGCTCAGAAATTACGTGCGTGATAATGCTCTTTACGTAGCCGCAGCTGACTTTAACACAAAGTTGCGCAAAATTTAACGATTAGTGTTATCGATGGATGATGCTGACGCAAACAAACGATGCGTGCAACGGAGTGTTCAAGATTTGAAAGATCATCTGAAATCAAGAGAAAGATTGCAGCTTTACAAAATAATGTGCAGATTATGCTAAACGAACTTGAAAACATGATTCAAGAAGTGCATCATGCCGAATAATTATTCGCAATGTCTGAGAAACGGCTTCTGATTGATGAATGGCACGTTCCGGCGAGAAAAAATTTTTTACGAAGACATGTCATAGTACACGGATACCATGACTTATGGCAGGTGGATGTGATCAAGATGCGTCCTTATACGCGATTCAATAGAGATTACCACTACATTCTCACTGTCATCGACATGCTGAGTAAGCATGCATGGTCGCTCAAAGCCAAGAGCGAGAACGCAGTGACGAAGGTGATCGCAAAGATAATTCAAAATGAAAGATGTTCGAAAAAATTTGCATACTGACTGAGAGGAAAGAAATTTTACAATTCGGATGTGCAAAAACTCTTGAAGTAGCACATCAATCATTATTCCGTAATGAAGGCTTCGGTCGTCGAACGATTCAACTGTACGTTGGAGAATAACGTGTGTGGAAACACAACTTACGTACAATGGAAATTACAAATGGATCAACATATTGTTGCGTCTCGTATCAAATTACAACGCGCGCAAGCATCGAACTATCGTATGCGTCCCGTCGACGTTACCTCGCAATTGTCAACAGGCTCTTTACAATCGTATAAAGATTGTCGTACTCGCGCAATAAAAAGTGGGTGATTCGATGCGCAAATCGATAAGCAAATTGAAGACAGTCTTTGATAAAGGTTACACGCCGAATTGGATCACGGAGGTATTTAAAATTATCAAAGTGCAGCAAATTAATCCAGTGATGTATCTATTGGAAGATTCTCGCAGGGAGTCTATCGCAGGAGGATTCTACGAATTGCATGTCACCCCTCCTTCTTCCGACATGCATCTCGTTGAAAAGATGTTGCGTAAGAGAGGGAACAATGTTTACGTGAAATGGTTGGGATTTGACAAGATTTCGTACAATTCGTGGATACATAAAGACAATGTATTGTAAAAATTATATTTATTATAAAAATATAAATACATTTTAAACGTATAATATGTATTATACATATTATAAACATCATTTACATATATCTAATTATTATATCTACATATTATATCTACATATTATATCTACATAGTATATCTACATATTATACATATTATATATATGTATATTATACATAGTATACATATTATACTTGTTATACTAGGTGGGGTGAAAAGTAACCTCCTTGGGAATGAAAAAAATTTTTTTCTTATGCAGAATCTCGCCCAAAATATGGCGTGTTCGCTCAGTACTAATCTTTGTAGCATCTGCTAGCTCGCGCACCTTCACTTTCCGGTCAGCCAACACCATTTCATGTATTTTTTTGACATTTTCCTCGGTAACCGCATCGGAGGGCCTGCCGCTGCGGACTTCATCGGTAGTGGAGTTGCGGCCACCACGAAACTCTCGAAACCAATATTTGACGGTGTAATCTGACGGAGTATTAGCCACATAATATTTATCCAACTTTTCTTTTGTTTCCTTCGCCGTTTTGCCTCTCAAAAAATAATGTTTTATGAGAGAACGAAAATCGTTTTCGCAAACACGTCAACAACAATCAGCTCTCAAAACAAAACTAAGGGCAGTATCGCACTGCCACTTGGCATGTCTGCCTAAATATGAACGGACTACAAGGCACCATAAACTTTTTTGCAGTAGTGGCGCATTCTGGCGGTCAAGGAGGTTACTTTTCACCCCATCTAGTACATAGTATACGCCTTATTTACATATTATATTGTACATATTATACATGTTATATACATATTAAACATATTATACAATACAAATGTATTATATTTACATCGGTAATCGGTCCCCATCATAATCGCTCGTGTCAAATCTACTTATATCACATTTCATGATATTGTAAACATCGTCATATTCTATGTGATATATGAAGTTATCGGTGTACATAATTTTGTAACGCTGCTTATCGCATGTTGCAAAGAGCTTGTCATCGCGCTTACCGATTTCTCGCGCATCGGACAGAACGGTAAGACAATGTGCGCGTTATAAAAATATTACAGGTATTCTACGTCAATCTCGAGAATATAGCCTGTCGATGAATCTAACGCGATGATCGTAAAATCAAAATTTTGCACGTCATCGACCCATCGAAAATCGGCATAAGGTAATGACACATTGCCCAGCCGTACAGATTGTTGACGTCATAGTACATCAAGTACGATGATGGTTTCGATGGATCGTATGATGGCATGTATTTGTTATTGACTCGCGCGTACCTATTTGAACACTGGCTCAGATCACCGCGTATACCGCGCTCGATAAATATTACCATGTCGATATCTGTGAGTAGTTCAAATTTTACACCAGTATGTTTTAACATGGCGTCCAATGTGAAGTCCAGTAAGGTGTAATAGTACACAAGGTCTAACCCGTAACTCGCGACGCAACTGTCGCGGAAATTTTCAAAGACGTCGGCCAACAACAAAACATGTTTTCAGATACAGGTCACTATATTCATCGAGTGTCCGGATGGAGAATCATTGCCACACGTTGATGGCGTGCGCGTAAGCGTTCTCAGATACAGTGTCATCTATCAATAAACTATAAAATTATATAGACTCGCGAGGCGGTAAATAAGCTTCTCCAACTTTTCGATGCAGTCAATGTACTCATATGGCAAGACGCCTTTTTGTGTCAAAAAAAATTTTCTTCTGACAAATTGGAAAATTCGCGTTGTAATATCCGAAGTTTATCTTTACTGAGAAAAGATGCCAATTTATTCAAACTTGAGGCTAGAAATCTATATGAATCTATAAATCATAATTTTAAGCAATTTTTTTTGATCGTTTTTAGTACTATCAACGTGTTTGGTGAATGATATGTATTTTTCTTTCATTACTGGTAATAATAATACGTCCTTCATACGTGTAATTTCTTTGATGATGAAATGAGCGTCGTAGACGATAAATTGTGAAACACTACGGGTATGCAATGCGAATTATTATAATTTAGATTACAGTATGAGTGCGTGAGATCTCTATATCGTCCGATTAAATGACAATTATCGCGTACCTGCGTATCGTCAGGCGCGAATGGTTCTCGCACACGTGGCAGTACGTAACGTTATTGAATTTTTCCCAGTCATCTCGCATGAAATCCGCATGGGTACGTTAGCCGAAATTATGGACTGTACACTATGCGCTAGATTTTTCAATTTTTCTGCGAATCACGCGATGTAGTCTTTATCGTGGTGAAAACGATAATGGATAATGTATCATCGTAGGAACAATGCACGTAATATCCGATACTAAACATGTTATGATGATGATACATGTACGTAGCCGATTCAGGATTCCATCTTTTCCAAAGCATACTCTAAGTCGGCATAGACAACGAATGGGATGCGCTCCTTTCTTCTGTGGGTGTCGAAACTCAACCATTTGTCCTCGCTCGTCAATCTCATCACACAATCGTTTAATTTTCCATAGTCTTCGCTGTGAATCTCCAATTTTGCGCTCGAGCTGTAATGCAGGCATTTGAAAAAAACCACACATTTATTGTCATTATTATTATTATTATTATTATTATTTCATAAAAGAATTTTCATGTTTTTTTTTACTAAGTTGTGAGCTGACTAGTCGGGATAGATTCTTGATGAATGTAAAGTGCCCTGCGTTGTCGTCCTCCACGTTTACATGTTTGCTTTTCTTTCGGTCGATGAGTCGTATCGGCACAATCCCCTACATAGAGCTTTCGCCATCTCTGACAAAGAACATCTACAGACAGAACTCAACTACCTAAAAGTAGCCTTATAGAAAAACGGACACGACAAAAAAGACATAATCAAAACAATCAATAGTCTCTGATACAACCAGATGAAAAGATCCTATCCCATATGTCAAAGGAACAACAGATTGGATAACAGGCAGGATATTAAACAAACATAGTTTGAATTATCTTCAAACCACTCAAAAAGATAAGACAAATCTTAAGAAATCCTAAAGATCAAAGACCTCACTCAGCTTCGCAGGAGTATACAAAACATCTTGTTTCTGCAGGCAAGTATACATTGGAGAAACCGGGAGAATGGTCAACCTATTGATAAAAGAACACTAATGTCAGACTAAAACACGTCACGCAGTCAGCATTATCAGAACACAACATCGAAACAGGACATCAAATACTGTTTGATAAAAAACGACTACAATAGCCAACATTACATCATACTTTCCAAGAAAGTATAGAGAAGTCATAGAGATATAAAAACACTCTAACAATCTAAATAGAGATAATGGAAATAATATAACATAAATAAAATATGGAAAACTATTTTCCCGGTTATTGAAGACCGACCAATTTCCCCCACCTCTCTTCCCTTCACACCCATAATTCTCTTCTTTCCCCTCACCACTCCAACAAGCAGCGTAATATAAAAGAAATGACTCTGAGAAACACCTCAGTATCAGGCTGCTCCTCGCTCTGATGAAATGAACTGCAAAGTTCACAAAACGTTGGCATTTCAAGAATGAATCTGGAGAAGGAAATCCGCAAAACGCATAATCTTTATATAAAAATCGTGGAAGCTTCAAGAATATCGCATTATCTGTATTATTTGACAACGTCGCATTTGTATCAAATTATATTAATGATCATCATTCTTGAAAAAATCTTAAATTACGCTAACAAAGCAGCTATATATTAGCTGATATTGCACTATTTAGCAACGTCGCATCTCAATTATATCGTATTATATGTATTATTTCGCAATGTTGCATTTGTATCATATTACATTAATCATTGTCATTGCAAAACACACATGTTAAATGTCCTTGAAAAAAATTTCTTATATTACGCTGACAAAGTCATATTGAAACTAGCAAATTTTGCAAACGCTGCAATTTGTGATGTCAGATTACATTAATGTTATCACCGGATGTATCTAAAAATCTTTTATTATAAAAATCTGACGCTTGCATTTTTTATGTATTGACCAGAAATGGTCATACATATAAATATCTGTGAGTATTTTTGCGGAAAGTCAGTCTGTGTAACATGGTTAACCGTAGGTGTCCAACGATCGAGCAAATAATTCGCGATCGGGAACTTGATTTCCGCAGTGTGCTAAATCGCATTAATAGTTCTTGCCTTGAAAATGATAGGGCATAAGAGTTGCGCATAATATAAAAAATTTGAAGTTATGAGTAATGAGGTTTGTACAATATCATGTATTGGTATGTGTCGGTATTGGGTCATGGATTTTTCATTCATAAACACTCACGAGTAAACTTGCTCTTTTTCTTGAAACATGAGTCGAGTAAGTATTTTATTTATATTTATTTGTGAAAAATTTTTCTCTATAGATGACTTATTTCGTCCGTTTCGTTCTTTTCCGTCATTGCGTCTTCACAAACAATGAGAGGACGACATTCATATCATTTCATAAAAATTAAAGATAGTACGATTTGGATTAAGTAAATAATAATTTCCATTATAATATATTCAGTAAGTCGGGTTGCCTATCTGCCTATGGGCAGGAGCATGCATTATTGGTAATGCAGAATATGATTATATCGCAAGTCCGACAGGGAATGAAATAAGAGAAATTAAATTTTAATCTGATATAGTGTAAAATTTAATTTATTCTGATATGATGTAAAATTTAATCCTTGATTATCTAATCTTGATTATAATTAGAAACAAACTCCATTAACTGTTGAAAGTTGGTCACGTTCAGCAAACTCAACTGTTGCGGAGCGCATTCGTGAGCGCTCGCAGCTATTAGTATATTCTTTTTCAATAGCAGCGAGCGCCACGGATCTGCTCCGCAACAGTTGAATCTGCTGAACGCGACCATTATGTACTTGTGAAAAGTGACCTGTCGGATTTCGTTAAAAAGACATATTGAAGGTCTTCTTATTCCAACTTAAGTAATGGCAACTTTAATTCTCTATCAAAAATTATTACTTTTCGAAAAAAGTAATAATTGTATCTAATGAATGTATCTAATGAAAAATTAAAACCGAGATACTACAATCTTAATCAAGTTAATTTCTATCAAAAGTAAAACACAAATGCACTATTTCTTATTATTTATACAAACTTACCTTTAAAAAAAAAAGATAAAAAAGGCGCTAAGCATGCGTGCTTTTCGTGAAGAATCATTTGGGCCGGTTTCACCAACGCCAATTATTTAATTGGCCGTGGAACTGTGACTAATTGTGTTTGTGTTTTTCTCTCTACCATTCCTTTCTATCTCTGTGATATGGCGTTACGCGCGACTGTATCATAGCGCTCAACAAATCGCGCTCTTATTATTGCGCAGTGCGAATAATTATACAAAATAAAATATAATATAATATAATATAATAAATAAATAAAATATTCCGCTTGCGAGAAGAGGATAGCAACGTATAAGAGATAGTAAGTATTAACGGTAAGTATGCAAATATAGCACACAGTGAGGACCGCGCTCGGAGGCTGCGATAGGGACAGGCGGCAGACCGCGCTTAGAGGCGGACCACGTCCGGAGGCGGCGATGGGGATCGGTGACGGCGGATCGTGCTCAGCGGCCATTAATCTCGTGTGACGTCATCATCGCGACGCGGATGCAAGTTTCCGCAAACCTCGCTACGTCATTTCCCACACCCGAGACATCCTCCTCTTCCCCCGCCCCGCAACGTCACCCACTATAACGTCATCCCCCGCACATCCCCGTGACGTCATTTTCCTCCCCTCTCCTCCCCGCGGTATCCCTCCTCAGAGGATCTGAATTAGAACCGGCCAACCTACCTTCACTCAAGCCATTTCAGAATATTATTGTGCTTGCAAAAATGGCTGTCGTACGGTTGGGTGTTGTGTACACGTAATGTCAGTAAGAACAGTTAATAATGTTTTTTTACTTTTAGAGAGTTCCGATGAGGAAGCTGAAGAAAGATAAGATATATTGGCCATATATTGGCCACATTTCAATTAGGCAATTAAAACCGTTTGTTCACTTTTGTTACTTTGAGTGTCTCTGCCCCCTCTTCATCGATTAATATAACTATATATAACTATATAACACTTATAACTATTCATTTGGGATTCCAAAAAAGATTTTAATTGTCTTCGTTAAGATTAGACATATTCCAGATACTAGATGATTCGAGAAATTGAATAAAACTAATCCTACATAGTATACAATACACGGTTATAATAACGAACTTTGAATAGCTGTAACACTCAAGGGACTCATTTTACAAAGTTGTACATATGGAATTTTTTAATCCTTTTTTTATGCTCTACAATCCTAGCTAGGTCTCAATGCTGTTCAGCCAGGGTCCAAACTGGACATAGTCCTTTCCTAAATTCAACGATGACATCTTTCCATGTTTAGTTAATCCTACTTCAAGACTATGCCGACTCCTATTGGCTTTCCAGTGTGAATATACAAATATAGCTAGACCATCGGTTCCTCTCTTCCCCTCCTTTCGAGGGAGTGCGCAGAGCGTGCCCTACTCGTATCGTGGCGCGCCGCCGCGTGAGCCATTAATGAGGAAGAAGATATGTCTCAACCTTGGAGGCAGGAGCCATTTAAATAAAAAGAAACTATGGTAAATCTTTAGATTAGGGGACTCCCCCCTTGATGACTTTGACCTTGACCTTGACATATGTTGTCTGAGTAATCTCCAACAAGTTTTAGCCGTCGCTCGTTCTTCATTAAAAAGTCATTAACAAAAAAGTTTAAGAAAAAACGTATACGACATCCTTCTACCATATAAAACAAAAATTTTCTGCTTTGAAGTATATTTTACAACTTTCCACAAGAAGCGACTCCCATTCCATCTCCCTCCCTGCATGGGGGCGCACAACTTTCATATTTTCTTATATAATTTTTGTTTTTAGAATAGAAAATTTTTTTCTGCTTTACTCTGCATATATGGTTTGACTAGGATTAGGTTTGGGGGGGGAGTTAGATTATTATATATTCATGGATATATAATAACCTAATCCTAACCCTCCCTACATAATTATCTACATTTTCCGCTAAAGCAGTGAACTTGTGTTTGTGTGAAAAGTCGCGCCATTAGGCAATGGGAGACGTAGAATGCAGTAGGCGGATATAATTTAAACAGTTTCTGATGTTATATATAGCCAAAATAAGATATTATTTTTTCAAACTTTTTTTGTTAATAACTTTTTAATGAAGGACGAACGACAGCTAAAATTTGTTATATGTCATTCAAATTCATGACCTTGACAACATATATAAGGTCAAGGTCATTGGGGGGGGTCCCCTAATCTAAAGATTAGCTGAAACTACTTACGATATTGTGATTCTGATGTCAAAAATCAAAATCAAATAGAAGTATTTAGTTTCTTATTGAATGAGGAATTGGATTATATAAGGAAAATATTTTCAAGTATAAATCACTATACAATAATCTAAGAGATTCAATTTATTTTATCACGAGAAAATAGAAGATAGTTGGTAGCTACAAGTCATGCATGTTGTTAATATAATCAAATATCATTTTATGTTAATGTAAATGTAATAAGTTAATAACAAAGAGATGAGAGGTGCAATAAAAAATAAGAGACAAAGGAATAAAATAGAATATACAATCAGCAACTAAAAGATTGGAACACTTTTTCAATGGGTTTCAGAATGCTATATATCAGCCTACTTACCAAGCCTATGGATCCATAAATAAGAACCAATTATTCAGTAAACAGGTTGCATTCTGAAACTCGTCAAAAAGAAAATATCGAAAATTACAACTTTTTAATTGCTGACTGTACATAATACATGTTTGATTACTCTCTAAAGAAAGTGAAAGATATATGCAGAAGTTAAATATGCCTATACTTATTGCACAATGTTATACACAATAAATAAAAAAAGTTGCTCTATCGCAGATTATATATAATTCATCCCTTATTCTAAAAATGCGTACCATTTGGCGCTTACAACGCTCGCGAATATTAGTTGTCCTTGTTCAATATTTAATACATAACAAGGATGAAATGATTCCAAAAGCGTCAAGTGGAACGCATCCTAAATTGTTCGGTACTTTCATACATTACTTGTCTTTTTATTAACTAATATTAACAATACAATACTACGAAAGATCTGAGCTATCATAAAAATAATGTTACATTTAATCACATACATTACACACTTTTTGACTGCCTGAAGCCTATCACATGATAAAAGAGATCTAAATAAACTTAATACTATTATTTTGTAGTTATATATTATATGTGTCAGAGTGTAAAGTTAATTCTTAAATAAATTCATATGTATATAAAAAAATACGTAAAAAAATAGAACTAAAATTTTGACTATGGACCGATCTCACAAACTCTGATTAACCTAATCGATCGATTAAGTGTCAATCACAATTG